AACAATAATCTCTTCTACTTACAAAATTTGTACTCATTTGTCCTAATTGTCATATTTTGCATGTGGAATGTTTAAAACAAAATAATTTTTTTAGATTTTATATATGCATTTTGAAATAAATAATCATAAATTACTATATCAATACCACAAAATTATTCTGCTAGTTATCAGGCTTACTAACTAAGCTGTATTTGGATCTAAAAAATATAATTTTTCTATCACTGGTTTTTCCCACTAAAACACTTCGCAGAGGCTAAGAAAACCATGTGGAGGAAATTCTGAGCTTTCGATTGATTATATAAATGTCGTTCAGTAAAGTAGGTGTACGTAAAAAGCATTTCCAAAAATGGAAGGGGTGGGCAGGGCCACCTTGTTTGATTTGCTAAATATAATAATATCTGGAGGTTCTTTTATATTCTAGATTGTCAGTATCGGTAATTTAAGTTTTTATTTTGTAAGAAACTATAGACTTTTTATTTCAACATCATAAACATCTAATTTGAACCAAAGCTGCATTCAACATACCACGTGACACACAAAAATCAATATTTATGAATTTTGTTTTAATGGTTGATTTTCAATATAATAACAAAATTTTAATTATATACAATTTGACACCAAACTTATTGACATACATTCATAAAATAGTAGTTCAATAAAATTTTGAATATAAGTCTACAAATGTGATGACATGCCATTTGACCCCTACTTGTAGTAGTGATAGGGTTAAGTGTGAAAGGGCACTGAAAATACTCCTCGTCCTCTCTTCCACTCTTGGGGAGCAGATAGATATCCCACTCTGAAGATCTGTCATCCCCTTATTCAATCAAAGCTGTACTATAGGTGTATGGTTTAACCAGGGACTTGAAAATGTTGGACCCTTAAATCATCAGGGCTTTTGGTTTTACATTTCTCTGATCCAGAGTTTCTACACTGAGTCCTATGAACCTCTGCTTCATCCAAGATGTTTGCAATATGCTGCATAGCTCCGATACTTACCATGAGTCCCACTTGGTACTGTGTTTTCATGCCTCATGGGCTGTGCTTTTTTGGTAGTAGGTATTCTGCTATTCCTACATTTAGCCTTCGTATCCAGGCACATTTGACCGACTTGGATGTGATTGGATGATATTGCCGTATCCAATTATCAGTCAATCCTGCCTTGTCTCGTTACCATTCCAAGGTGTGTCCTTTCTTTGAGTCATTTGAGGAAGTTGGTTACTCACTATTGGAAGTACTGTCTTCTTTTTGCTGAACAATGTCAATCCGTTCTTCTGTTTTACAGATGGTTTGAATCTAATGACTCTGTGGGCTCTGCCATGATTTTCTGTGGCTCAGTGGTTACTCACAGGATCCCCTCTACATATTCTATGTTCAGTGCCAAGTTGTATGCAATTTCATTTGTCTTTGGTCACGTAGAAGGTAAGCAGTACACTAATTGTACTATATATTTGCTTACTCGTTTAGCTCTTTGATGGCCCTGGAATCACTTTAATGTGAGTTCTCACCTTTTTTTTTTTTTTGAAAATTCTGAAACAACTGGCCCACTTCTCTTTATCATCTATATCTTTTTAGTTTTTCTGGATTCCTGGCCTTATAAGTATATGTGGGAATGAACTTGCTGATACTGCAACTAAATCTGTCTGCTCTGGTGTTATCACAGCCCTGCATGTCCCTTGTGTGGAGTACAGGCCTGTCTTCATGCCAATTAGCAATATTTGGAGTGAGCAACACCATAATATGCTTTTCTAGATAAAGTGTACTGTTGTTGTTTGGCCAACTAGTTTTTGTAAGGATCAGAGAGAGGAAGTTGTCTTGTCAAGGCTATGCATTGGCCAAAGTTTCATTACTCATAATTGTCTTCTGTAGGGCACTGATTGGCCAATGTGTGTCCTTTATGACACTTGGGTGACAATTGCCCAGATCTTACTTTCATGCTGATGCTATGACTGCCAGTGGCAGCACCATTTTAGACATGTTTTTCACAGAATTTACATTTGACAATGGACTGTGTCATTGATGGTGGTGACATTTTCCAGATTGATCGTGGTTGTAGCTTTTTACAGGCAGTGTTTAGTTTTTCATTTGTTTTAGGCTATTTAATTTTTTACCATATTTTACTTTTGCCTTTTTATTGTTTTGTTTAGATTTATTATCTGTTTGTTGCAGATAGTCCTTGTGCTTTGTGCTGTAAAACAAACAACAAGAAGCAATTCTGGATAAGTCTATGCTTGTTTCAAGTATTTAAGTCTAGGAATATAAAATAATACCCTTTTTTGAATTTTCAGCAGAGTAAGAATTATGAAATTTTATTTTACACCTTGAAACAAATCAGAAAAATGCTTTGATCACTTCTTTAGGCTTAACCCACTGGTTCCCAACCTTTTCTCCACCAAGGATCCCTTTTATTATCATCCCCCCCACCCACAGCCCCCATGTTTTTTAAAGGATTCACCTACCCAACAAATTGTTTTTATTAACTAATAATTAACTTGTTCTCCCACTTTTCACTATCAAATAAAAGACATATATATATATAACTGAGTGTGCAACTAAAAAAACATCAGTATTAAAAAACTTGCTTGTTTAATGACATGGTATTACCTACGCGGACCTCCGGTTGAGAACCATTGCATTAAACCTTATTTCTTTATTTTTATTTTGGTTTTCCACCAGAAAAACTCCAAAATAAATTACATAAATGCACGTTTTACTATCGATTTTGAACCAACACTTGTATTAGTTCTTAATAACATCAAAGATTTTTAGTAATGAAATTTTATTTTTTGCTTAATAGGAGAGGGCTCTTATATACATATATATATATATATATAT